AGCAGGTCAGTCTGACAGATCATGCAGAGAGGAGATTGAAAGCAGGAAGTGGGCACATGGACCATCAACAGATATGAAGGTGTTTTCACCTTGGGTCACACACGGGACTCACTTCTCCAGAGACCACAGTGCGGCTGATAAGACACGTCACACCATCATGTGTCACCTCTGATGAAGAGTGGGAGTAAGTAGGAGCAAATCGTCGCCTCAACTCTCAACACCGACCAGCTCATATGTTTTATTTATCTCTTTGCAGTCTACAGGTTAGCATATTCAAAATAATGTTGTTTTTTGCCCTAGCTTTTGCAAAATGAATCTATATAAATGAATCTACACAATTTGTTGCCAGTGTCCATGCATATTAGGCTCACATGACAAGTGCTCCACTCATGTGCAGTCCACCTGGTTTTACCAAAGAATCCAAATGAGGGACTAATTCTGTTTTCTGATTGGATATTTTTTGTCATATATATTAACATTAATCATGTTCTTGAGAGACCAAGTAAAACACACCAAAAACCAGGCAATAGTTTGCGTCCATGCTTTATAGCAAGAAAGTCCATGGGTTGAGCCCAGAGTCAGCCGGGCCTTTGTGGAATTTGCATGTTCTACTCATGTCTTTGTAGGTTTTCTGGTGTGCCCATTTGCCCGACCACTAAAGCATGCACAACAGCTTGGTGGTGCGCCAGAACCACTTTTATTTTTGTGTTTATTTGTTTATGGGAGACGGTTCAAGGACATTGTTTCAGCACAATAACCATAATAATAATACAATATTTACAGCTATGTTTATACAATTCTAAAACCAAAGTATTAAACTGTTAAGTGGCTCTAACGTACAACATACAATATGAGATGCAAAATATTCAAAAGTGTTCTTTCCGAGTTCAGCTCTTGAAAGCAAATGGTCCTGTGCTGTTCAGAGCGGCAAACTTCCAGTTGAACAAAAATGTCTGAACATTTGGATGTTTTTCTACAATGTTGCTCTTTTCAAAACAATGTTTTCATAAAAGCAAAGGAAGGTTTCTCACCCATCATCTGTACTTCTTAGCAAGTTTTCCCGACGTTTCGTCCTCAATCCAAAGGACTTCTTCAGGGAATTAATTCTCAGACTGCGTGTTGGAGATTTATAACCTATGGGTGTGGTTAGCCACACCCTAAACCTGATACTAACTCATAAACAATCTAAGATCTGTTTGATGTAGAAGGGAGCAGATCTAACGACCCTGCTGAGGCTAACGACCCTAACTCATTATTAGCATGTCACTGACCTTGTCCCAAGTTAGGACGTTGTTTTTAGGATGTCGTCATAGATGCGAGGCAAAACAAATCTTAACCCTCCTCCTCTGTTAAGAGAAGGTTTTTGTTTCCACACAAAGTTTTCATGAATGTTGAAGTTGTTGATAAACAAAGAATGAAAAAGTTAATCTAGCAACTTTAGCACAGAGGAAGGAGCTGCATATAAATAATAAATCCATCATCTGAAACAGGAAGGAAAGAACTATTTATCATCTGTGATTCAAGAGAATGTATGTCTGTAAAAGAATGATGACCAGGACTTATTATTTAATGCAAGTCTAGGTTTCATGATTCAAAAACGTCGTCATCATCACGTATGAAGTGAATGGAAAATACAGACCATGATTACATCGCTTTGAGTGAATATGATCTGTGAAATGTGCTATATAAATAAATATGACTTCCTTACCAACAAAAAACTCTCTCTTGAGGTGAAGATGCAGAAAATATATATCAAAAGTTCAAAGATGACGCCAAAGTCAATAGAACAGAAGATCCCTTTAACCCTGAAAGCAGGAATCAAACACGACCAGAGTGGTCGGTTTGTACCTGACGTCAGAAAAAAGAATAAACTTATAGAACCTCTGAGAAGAACAAATGACCCTTGTTGAACTAAAACAATATGAGAGCGGAGACAACAGAAAGTTATTACAACAGTTATTGATACAACTCCACTTGGTATGTTCTGTCCAGTTACGTTTATTCTGTTGATTTCATGATGCTCAACGATATAAAAACAACCATAGAGTAATCAAAGGCTAATGTAGTATCCTCAGGTCTGTGCTCTCAAACACAATCATAGCTGTGTTCTGTCAGAAGCAACATTTGTCTGTTATGTATTTGTAAATTGAACATTTCTTTGTGGGAAAAGAGACACATGTACATAAAAAATGCTGCCCATTCTTCAGATTGTGAAACGGTAATTTCATGAAACATTTCCTAAAATCACTGCAAGTGTAATGAGGCCTGACATGTCCATCTCTCTTTCACATACTCCTTCCTCTTGACATCATCCCTGTTGTGGTGACCATAGCAACTAAGCACCATTGATGACGTGTCGTCTTTCTCTATATTTACTCGGTTGCTGTAGCAACGACCCAGACATGCACTGAAGAAGAGTAATAGCCACAAACTGTAGAGATTTCCTCCGTTCAAAACTGACAAACTCTCCGAAGGTCAGGTGAGTCCTGGAAATCTAAAATGAATACGTGGGTAGGGATTTCATTAAAGCGTAAACTACCACAAAATAAACATGACAAATACAGAACATGAACTGTATCCCACTAACTACAACAAAATGTAATATGCAGTTCTGTGTTTTCCTGATGCTGACATAAATAATAATGTAAACAAATGAATACCTCAATGAATATACAGAGGCAGATTTGCTGTGGGGACAGAAATAACCACATAGTGCACACATTAAAGAAGCCCAGAACAGAATTATGGTGACAAAAATGTATTCTACTCAATCTGTTGTTGTACTGCTATACCAACTTTTGGCGATTTAAATCCCTGTCTTTAGTCTTTAGACAGAGGATTGGGTCTGGAACTTCCAAAACCTAAAGAAGGGGTCTCAAAGATGATTACAGAGTGGTCTCAGAGGAGACCACAGGTGCAACGGGGAAACAGGCTATAGAGTTGTCAATGTTATACAAACTTTCACAAAGGTTATGAACAAGTCCAATGCAAGCTAAGCAGTGTGACATTCAGAACCAGGTGGTCCATTTTAAGTGATATTTGAACTGTTAAATGAAAGGGCTTAGTATAAGAATCTCAAATACATTCTTAATCTGCATCTCAAATTCTCAAAGCTAACCCTGACAACTAAAATATGATCAATGTTGTGCCTCTTCTGAAAACACACTGCACTGTTGTTTGCACAGCAGAGGACAGAAGAAAGAGTATTCTGATGAACATTTCAATTCAGTGCAACTAATCTGCAGAGATCAGCTGCAAGTTATATTTTTTAGATGTTTCATTCGATGGGAAAAAAAACAGGGGGTTACTTCACTGTGCCTATTAATGGATAATAAGGAACTTTTACATTCTAAAAGAATATATATTGATTATGAATATGACAAATATTACTTTGATTTACACAAACCCACACCAACATTATGACAACAAAACCAACAATATATCTGTGAAACGGTTCAGGAAAATAATAGGTGAACAAGTATCTTGAAACGAGGAATTACGGGTCCAGCAGTTTAAGCAGTTGAAGTGTCCACTCAGGGGCAGGTTAAATGAACAACACTGTTAAAGCATCAGGAGAACAACAGCAGCTGATGGCTCTGAGACAGGAAAGAAACCACTAAATTTGCGAATAAAGGATCTCTTATCCAAGATTTTGAACCAGCTGCTCGGAGCTGGGATCCACCCTGAACCAAAAGGCGTACAGATACAATACAAAGAGATCATCAGCTAATATCAACAAGGAAAGTCCCTTAGAATACCCAGCGAGGGAGGCAAGTCCTCGGATGCCAGATCAATGGCAAGAACAAGACACAGTTACACCCTGTCACTGATTAGATACGCAGCAGGAATAACACGTTAGCCTCAGGAAGAGACACGGACCACAGATTTTTAAAACATGACAGCATCTATCCGTGCATGTCGGGTTCCATCCTAAATCCAGCACCGACGCTGTAGAGCAGGGGTGACAACATTGTAAAAATGTTTGACTGAAGTCAGGCTGTTCTGAGATATAAAAGGAGGTATATGTCCATAGTGATTCCACAGAGCTGAAGTTGGCCAAAAGACAAATGTCTCATCAGCTGCATTAGTGCCATAGATGGAATTCTGTGACACAATAAAAGCCAAATGTCAAAACATACAAATAAGGTCAATTACTAGATTCAAAAGGTTCTGAGCTTTACAACGAGCTCTTCAGCTGAAGAGAGCTACAGTAGATGACACTGTGAGGTTGTGCGAGTGATCTCAAAGACTGAGGCAAGCCCTCTGCCACTGGGCGTCAGTCGTTCAGCTGGGAGAGGAAATAAGTCTATCATAAGAGCTTTTGTGCAATTACAGAAAAACTGAGGTGGTCATTACAACACAATGCAAAAGTCCGTCATTCATAACTTGATGTTTTGGTAAAGGTCAAAGCTAATGTATGCATCGGTGACATGGCAAACGCAGAGAGGAGCTTCTGTATTTTGCCTGGTATAAAACCATGTGGACGCTGCAAAACTCTGGCCGTGTCACTGATGCTGAGCAACAATAAAACATATCTTATCTTCTCTCACACCTCTGTTGTCCCTCACAGACACTGTCACAAAGAACACAAAAAACATTTGAATTCTGCTTCTGACATGAGCATGATTGGTGCAGCGGTCAGATGGGCCTCCCCACAAGTTGGCAGATGTGAAATCAGCTCCTATTGGTGAATCTAGCCGGGTGTCCTTGGGCCGGGCCTCACCCCCAGTGACAGTGCACACTGGAGGGTGTGTGTGTGTGTGTGAATGGGTGAAAGGGTCCTTGATGTACAGCACTTTAAACGGCCTGATTTTGGGTTGCCAGTTTCTTTGATGAAATTCAGCTGATTTGGTCACTTCCGACCCCCAGAAGCTGAAGCACAGTAATGGTCAGGAGGGTCAGTGCATGTGTGTGCACGGCATGCTGGGACATAACGGTTTGGATGAATTGTAATGACTCTAAACAGTGAGAGTACATGTGTTTCTTTAACATGATCTTACCTTCGGATTGAGCACCAGTTGTTGTTCATCGAAGTGAAGCAAAGCTACAGAGTTTGACTCCGAGTTGTTGACAAAGATTTGAAGACAAGGATACAGTGACGTGCCCTTACAGTCCGCTCCACATGTAAACACACATTCAAACATCTCCTCGGGCCGCAGCACGGACACCACCTGCACACACACAACACTCATTATTCATCTTCAAAAGGACAAACTTCACCAAATTGAAAAAAAAATGAAATAATTTCTGGTACTGGCTTCTGTGCAGGGTTTGGTGGAGGAAACTGCTCTGGATGTAAATGACTTGTGATTTGACCCAGGAGTGAAACTGATGGTGCATATCAGAGGAAACTGATCATTGGTCGTTTTCTCTCTAAGTCACCTAATTGCATTCAGTCCATCTTTCTTCATAATGACTAATCATTAAAGCAATTATTGTTATGATTATGTATGATTATTTGAGGCACACAATAAAGAAACATCAGCCATTTTATACCCGTAACATATAGTGTATTAGCTAAAGCTTGAGTTCATCACTCAGCATGAGCAGGACTTTTATTTATGTGAAGAAAGGCTCTGAAACGCTGTGCAAACAGTTTCTTTCGTCCATAATGAAAGTGACACAGCAGTGACGGGCAAATGCATTATGGCTGGTACAGTATGGCACACGCAGCTACACTAAATGTGTTCATTATGTCATCATGGGAGAAAGTAACAGATTTTAGTAAAAGAGTCTTAAAATAAAATACAAAGTAGCTCCCTGTCAGTCCAAGTTATGACACGGGGATGAAAAAGTAGTGGCAGCTCTGTGAAATCAGATCACGCTCAACTCAAGAACGAAACACAAAAACAAATCAATATTTTAGGATTATGTCCAGAACAATAGAGGCCTATTGCTTGTGTGACCTATTAACAGCCCTGGTCTGCAGTGATCTCATTTAAAACTACATCAATAAGCAGTTATCATTTGGATTTATTAGAAAATATGCCTGTAACTTCAGTTCTCACAAAAATGTCGGAATAATATGTGATCCCGCTTAATCAGAGTAAAATCTACAGAAGCAATAATCAACAACAAACACGTCTGAAAGAAAGGATCTCTGAACGTGCGTGAGGACGGCGCATGGCTCACCGTGCAGTTGGCCGGTTTGCTCTGGAGGCTCTGGAGCGTGGGGCTGAGCCAGCAGAAGCCCAGGATGAAGAGGCTGAGGATGCCACAGGCGATCAGGAACAGTCCCAGTCTGATGCTCTTGTCCTCAGCCTCCGAGTACTCGTACGACACCCGGATCTTTGCCATGACAGCCCCGCTGAACCCCGCGCGTTAGCGGCATTGAGGAGGAGGAGGAGGAGGACTGCGAGGAAGAGTCGTGCAGCAGAGTCAGAGCCGCCGCCGCTGAGACTGTGCATTTATGTGTCTGTGACCATGTGCTCCCGCCTCCGCCTCACGGGGTTTCTCTCAGTCACCGGCTTCTTCTTACATCAGCTGCTCTGCCCGTCACTGCTTTTATCACACTTATATTGACCACAGTACTACCCACAGTCCTGCTGCTCACACACGCGCACGCACACGCGCACACACACACACACACACACACACACACACACACACACTTGTTGCATTATTGCTGTACACCACACACCTCCTTGAGAAATCTCAAAACCACTTGTTTTTCTCATAATCTGCTTCTAAGGCTACAGGAGCAATATTCGATCAACCAACCAATCGAAAGACTAAGTGGGTGTTTCCCAAACAGATACATTTTAAACATATCCACTCTCTAACCAGACTCTGTGCCTTCTGATGAGCCTCAGCCGCACCCCAATAAAAACAAATAGAATGTTCTTCTTTTTACAATTTACATATGTTTGCATTTAAAAGGGATCCATTACAAACTGCACATTCTGTGTGTGAGCCCATTGGGCAGGAGTGGTTCAGACCTGAAATATGATTTAGTCCTGGTTCAGAGCACTTCTGCTGTTGAGCATGCAAACAATAATATTCTCCAAATATCGACATTCTCCATTGTATATGGTGGAATGCAGATGTTGTATGTAGTCTAGACTCGCTGATTGACCTAAAACTATGAGCTAATTGGGAAAAGTGTGTCCACAAACAAACAGATGGACCTGCACTGACAAGATACAGAAATCTCCCAATGCAATACATGCTTTATTTATTGACCTTTATTTGACCAGGAAAGTCCAACTGATATTTCAGAATGTCTTTTGAGAAAGAGGAGCTATTGTACATGTTTTCAGTGGTGGGGGAAACTGGAGCACTCAGAGGAAACCTACGCATTCTTTTAAGGGAGAACATGCCAACTCCACTCAGAAAGTATGTGTCCCAGTTGTTGAACCTGAATCAGCACCAAGGCCAGCGACACTTGTCATAGTTCCAGCTCAGGAAACATCATAGACCGTATATTAGGAGTGGATGGATTTGAACTTGAATTCCTCATTTACTAATTTTTTACAACAGGGGTTAGTTTCAGGTCGTTTCAGAGGCAGATGTGTTGTCAAGATGGTTGATAAAGAAAGCTGGCGAAAAACGTATTGTTGACGCCTACCCTTTACGACCCTGCACCCTATGCTACTATCACTTAACTGCACTGCTGAATGTCTGTTGTGTGTTCTTAGTGCTCTTATAGTAAGCTTAAGTTTATCAAGGAAATCTCCTTGACATGCATCATGCTTTCACGACCTTTTATGAAGATTTTCCTTTTTTATGCATGCCTCTTTTTACTCTTGCACCTTGTTTGCGCCTAGTCAAAGCAAATCCTAGTTTGTGACTTTCTGTTACTTTTATAATGGCAATAAAATAATTCTGATCCTGATATTTCAACCTTTATTTAACCAGGAAAGTCACATTGAGATGCTTTAATCTGGATTATTACTTTACTTTATTGTGTCAGATTCAGACTCGTTCATTTTCTTCCCCTTTATTAGTCCATTTCTGGGTCGGGAAGGTGGCAATGAGAGCTGCCACCCAATGCTCAAAGCACCGGTCCCTCTGATCCTCTGCAGGTGGTGGGTCCACATGCCTTGATGCTTCAGCGGGAGCTTCGGGCAATGTGGGGTTAAGTGTCTTGTCCAAGAACATAACGAAAGCAGACATTAGTGGGAGCAGTTGGAGCAGGTCCTGTCGATTCAGTCTGTGTTATTTATCCCACCAGGAGCAATTCATTTGAGCAGCACATAAAAAATAAATTAATAGCATAAAAACACAAGAAATAAGTGATATTTGAGGAGCCCCACACAAACATATGAACATAACATAACAATAAAGCTCAAACATCAAAGTCCACATCACCACCAAGCTACAGAGAGTTCAGCCGTCAAATAGCAGTTGGGACAAAAGATTTTAAATGACGATTGGTTTTACTATATGGTGGATTATCAAAAACAACATGAACAGAATACACCCCAGGATCAAAGAGAGCACTGAATGACAACGTAAGTCAGTAGGAGCCAGAGTGAGTTGGAGCAAAACTTTGGTCCATCAGCACTTCCCTATCTCCCCTGCTTCATTGAGGCAGTGGGTTTGAACTGTCCGTCTATGTACAGTCTACGACAATCACACACTGTACATACGTGTCGTGGTTCATCGTCAAGGTCAATTTAAACTAAATGGAATTTATCGTTCTGTTCAGTGGATTAAAACTTTCATTTTCTACTAAATAAAATAATCAATAAAGCCAGAGTTAAGCCTTTATTAATATTCTCCGACCTTATGTCAACTATATCTAGTGTGACTTGTTGATGTGTGTGGCTTTCCACAGTGGCCTGATGATGATTCAATCCAGATTTGTGTTTGACTTTGTTCGGGTGGCTGCTTGTTCTCTCACGGTTACATGCAGCAGGAGATAAGCCTCTTATATGAAAGCAGCACACCACACAGAAATACTCTTTTCTCTCAGCGCACAAAATACTGCCAAAATACTGTAAGGCCTGGGTTACAGCAGCAGGTCTATTACATGCTGATGGAAAAAGACAACATATTTGCAGTACTATGGGGTACCTAACTTTCAAATCACATCTGTATGTAATAGTTTTTGTCAAATAGAATCATCTACACTACACAGCATTCTTTTTGCTTATTTTTATGCTGAAGTCAGGGGTTTTTGTATTTAAGTCTTGTCTTCTTCTTCCTCATGCTAAGATTTTAGACTTCTTTCCTTATTATCCTAAAGATAGAGTTTTTATACTGCTTCCATTTATGCTAAAGTTTTTCATTTTTTATTTTTTATTTTAAAACAGTGTTATTATTCATGTATCTTGTGCTGTGTGCTTCCTACTGTTCTGTAACTTGTGATGCAACAGTGAAATTTCCCCACTGTGGGACGAATAAAGGATCTCTTCATTGTAATGAAACAGGTTGGTTCTATAACAAGGTATGAGACCACCATCATTCAGCCAAACAGCTCTCAGCCCAAAGCGTCAAATAGTGGCGCTCAAAGGTTCTTTCTTACAAGTACATGCAAAAGATGAAAACAGCAGGTTGTGGTCTGATTTGTCCAGAACGTTTTACTTTTAACATTTGGACCTGATTTTGACTGTTCCTGCACAAAGATATATGTTTGTTATGATTATTTATTATAACTGTATCTAACTGAGGCTGCATTTCAGATTCATGCAGCTGAAATCTAGAACAATCTTCCAGAAAATGTGAGACAGGATTCTTCTCTGACAATGTTTAAATCCAGGTTGAAAACAGTTTAGCTGTGCATGCAACTGAGGGATTTTATATTTCTTTTAATTGTATGTGATTATTTATGCCTTGTGTAGAAATTGTGCTATACAAATAAATGTGGTTTTATTGAAGATGTGATGTTTGAGGGATGTGTTCACTCTGTATGACAGGTAGCAATTCAATCTGAAGAGACCAAGACAGAAACATTAATGCATGAAAAGGATCTATACGTTTGGCGCATTGACCCCGGCAGTGAAACTTGCAGAAGGGAGATCCCCCAGGATCAAGCACTGGTGGTGGCTAGAGCATGGTGTGAATGGGGCATATAGGCGGAGCAGGAGCCAGGGCAGGAGCCAGAGCAGGAGCCAGAGCAGGAGCCAGGGCAGGAGCCAGAGCAGACGCCAGGGCAGGAGCCAGGGCAGGAGCCAGAGCAGGAGCCAGGGCAGGAGCCAGAACAGGAGCCAGGGCAGGAGCCAGAGCAGGAGCCAGGTCAGGAGCCAGAGCAGGAGCCAGGTCAGGAGCCAGAGCAGGAGCCAGGGCAGGAGCCAGAGCAGGAGCCAGGGCAGGAGCCAGAGCAGGAGCCAGGGCAGGAGCCAGAGCAGGAGCCAGGTCAGGAGCCAGAACAGGAGCCAGGTCAGGAGCCAGAGCAGGAGCCAGAGCAGGAACCCGAGCAGGAACCAGGAGCGTGAGGAGGTGCTGGAGAGGCGGTGGGTGCTAAGAGCTTCAGGAAGCATTGTTTATCAAGAAGTGGCTGCTTTTAAACTGCCCGCTTTACTGTCAGTGGGTTTGCAAGAGGCTGGCCGGGCTGTGTGATTGGCTGGCCCTGGACTGGTGAGAGCTTCATAATGAAAAATATCTAAATCCCCCAAGTAACAGCGTCTCAGTTTTCCACCGTGAAGCTGAGAGCGACTATTGGGAATGTTCAAAAAGCAAATATGTTTTTGTTATGTTTACATTATTTGAGCCGTAAAAATCATGTAATCCATTTCATCCAATAATGTTGTTGTGTAAAAAAATCTAGGCAAAGCTATTATATAGATGTTTGTAATTATTTATGCAGCATCTCAAAAGGAGTTGGTAAGTAGTAGTAAGTAAGTGAGTAATTATTTATATACCGCCTTTTCACTGCAGAGCTGAGTCTCAAAGCGGTTTACAATTGTTATTTTTTTTTGGGCATTTGTCTCTCACTCCACACAGAGATGGGAGCGGGGTCGCCGAACAGGAGGCGCATGCCAGAACTATTTTACATATTTTTAGCGGTAGGGGAAACCAGAGTACCCGGAGGAAACCTACGCAGACACGGGGAGAACATGCAAACTCCACTCAGAAAGGCCCTGGTCCGACCGGGATTCGAACCCAGGACCTTCTTGCTGAGAGGCGAGAGTGCTATCCACTCAGCCACCGTGCCGCCAACACATTGGTAATGTGTCCGGATTATTGAAATCTCTGCAAATCAAAAGTAAAGGGAAAAGACATGAATTTAAATCACCCGAATCCAAACATTTTTCAAAGACATAAGAACGAAATGACGGTTACTAAATACTAATTGTCCAGCGGGAAAATAAAAACATGAAACCCTAAAATTGGTTTTACATTTTAACAAGGCTCTGCAGACAAAAAATCTAAAGTTGTAATATTGTATTAATTTAATATACTGATTCAAGTGTCAAAACATGCTACACACCAATTTTACTTTTATGTATTGTTTGTATAAAATAGACTTGATAATCTAGAAATTATCTCGCGGTTAGTGTCCCCGGACCCGCACTTTGGGAACCAATTCATTGGGACATGTTCAAGCCATTTCAGCCAAAGTGACCGATGTCTGTGTTCCCGACTGTCAATGGTCCAGTGGAGCCCTCTTGTGCATGATATATTGTTTTACACACTGGGGTTATGTTTTTAGCAGGTTTATGTGTGTGTTAGATAGCAACATCACTCGAGACGTTATCCGGATTTTAATAATATTGTTGTTGTAAATCTCCAGAATGGGGCAAAGACCAAAGGATTGGAACTGTGCCTCTTGGTGGAGGTTAGTGCTCTACGCGGGCTGTTCTTTTTCCTCAATAAAAATATAGACAAAAATGATATATATTTTTAAAACGATAAATAGAACAATGAAATAATAATTTTCCCATTCCAAACATTGTATTGAGTGTTTTCTGTAGTAAAATGAGAAAAACAAAATGAGAATGCCATGTAAGGTTTCATTATCAGAATATTTATTTTAGAGCTTTTCTTTAAAACTCTAGCTGCCATTTCTATATAAAACAAAAAGCCAAGTGCCTCAGTCCCCTCTTCAGTTGCAGGTTTGTGTGTCATTTGCTTCCTGCTGTGTTGAAAAGCAGCTCAGAAAATGCACATGGGCTCTCAGCCGCTGGGCAGTGATGGTCTGCTGCTGAGGCAGGGGTGGTCCACTGTGGGTTTCCTCCATAGTGCTTCCTTGGTCTAATATTACATTTACAACTGGAGATGGGGAACTGCATCTGTACATTTACAACTATTGAATGCATTCTGTATTACATCCCAGCGGAGTTTTGAAAGTACAAAAATTACATTCCAGAAAAGGGGAATAAAAGCATATCACATGAAAATGAAAGGATGAGGCAGGAATATAGCCGTCTTAAATGCTTGACAGCAGCTAAAATTCTTGCAGGAAAAAGTGCTATAATTTTAAGATTTGGGCATTTACAAATGTCAGCTTACAAATGTAACTAATGCACCATATAAATATGATAAAACAAGAACACTGAACCTTTTCAACTTTCTGATTTAACACTACTGGTCTTACAAAGTGGGAGATAAAATGACCTCCACATAACAGGCAGGCACAAAACAAAAGTGGATTTTCATTTTTTATTATGAAATAGTGCTACAATGTACATTGCATTTCCTCTCCTGACTGTGCTGACTATCTGCTCAAAGGTGTTCGATTTGTAATGCAAAATACCAGGTAGGAATTTAGTAAATCAAAAAACCTTTTCCTTTACAGTGAACGAACAGTTGCAACACAGCAGGCACGGTAGAAAATAAATATCCATCATAAAAGGTGATCAATAATGTCCAGTTAAAATCTAGATCCTCTTAAAATGAAGTGGAAAAACTTCTCTAGACGAAAATAGTGACATTTTAGAGTAGAAATATGCATCACTCAGTCAGATGGACAGTTATCGCCAGTGCTGCCAGTGCGTGTTGTATTTTTACTGCGTTGCATCATGTAACAGACCAAGCAAACTTTAAGGAGGGTAAAATGTAAAAAGAAAAATTGAGGTAAAGGAAAAATATAATCTGAAAAGTTAAAATCCAGAGTTTTCTTGACGAGATGGAACATTTAGTCTCTTGTCCTGATTGGCCGGATATGCTCTGTGTGTAGAACTGAAGTGGGTGATAGCGAAATCGAAAGGACCACGTGGCAGGAGGCGATCAAAAGGCCTGCTGCGCTGGATTGTAGTTGAAAGTAGAGGGAACATGAGGTCGCTCTTCCAACTTGTCATATTCCAAATGAAACTCCTAAAAACAAGAGGTCGTATTACACACTTTTCTTTTTACCAGCACATATAAAGTAAAGTGGGCGAGTGAGTATTGCAGTAAAGTTAAGACACAAGCTGCAAAAGAGTGATTATTATCATAGTAAACAGAAGCAACTCAGAATTAACTATAATATGTATAATCACAGGTCTTTCACCATTTTATTCATTACATAAGGATATTAGAGCTGTCCATTTAAAGCTGGGGTGGGTAACTTGAGAACTTTTCTGTCGGAGAAATCTCAACAAAAAAATACATGAACAAATAATGTATGAATAATGCATTTTGTTTGTCCCAACAAAAAGAATCTTGTAAATGTGTCCAAACTTTGGGTCCGTACTGATTATATTTAAATGTATAATATATATATCATATATACATACATACATACATACATTAGATACACACAAACTTGAGATGAGAAACAAACAGTTCTAGAGCCAGGAACTAGTGATGTCATTAAATACTTCATAAACCATTAAAGGTGCAGTAAGTGATGTTGTTGCTTAGCCGTAGCACCAACTCGAAACCACTCCCCCCCTGCAATAAATCTGCAAAGTAGCAGCTATACATTTTAAAGCTGCACTAACTGACTTTATTTTTGTATTCATTACGAAAATGCTATCCATGTCCATGTAGTGCATTGGGATATACGTCCTTTTGAAGAAAAAGTAGCGCAGATTTGTGCTGGCCTGACATTATATTTTAGATCGAGTTTTGATGAAACAAGGAAGAGAATGGTTTCGGGTCGCGGATTGTGACCAATCGCAGCAAACCACTAGCCCCCACTTTCGTGAGAAATATACAGGTCCGTTAGCACAGACAGCTGAGTTAGCACAACAAGCGGTGGAGCTAACCTGAAACTTTGTGTGTCTTCGTCATCGGTTACTGCTTACACAGCGAAACAGCCATCCAAAAGAAAGCCCCGTTCCTCCGCTCTTCCCGGTTCTATCGTTCTATGGTCACTCCATCCACGTGCAAATCCATATTTGTGTATTATCCATATTGGGAGACGCTAACTCCGTCCCAACAGTGGGTGTGTGTGGGGGCGATAGCTTCGTGGGTGCGGGGAGGGGAGCAGAAAGAGAGAGGCCAGCGAGTCTGCTGCTTCAAAATCCCAAAGTCAGTTAGTGCAGCTTTAAGGCTGCAAAACCCCTCACCGCACACTTTATACACTTATCTAACCACCTGAACTCGCGACTGCTGAAGTGCGATCGCGGAGAAATCAAACCTGTTCATGTAAGTTTGTCGGTGTGAGCGCTGCTGCAGCTGTCAAAAGCCGTGCATACGCTGTAAAATACACTGCGGGACTGAGAGCTACGGGAAGACCACGGTAGTCTTCTGAACTAAAGGACAAAAGCCACTAATGTTTTAAATAAAAAGGTAACTGTCATGTTATACTACAAGTTATATGATGTTTTTAATAGTCAAGTGTTAAAAAACGCACACAAAATATAGAAATAGCAAAAAAGTAGGGCCGATAAAGGTGAGGGACCACTCTACTGTAAAGCTCAAACACTTTATTTAAATTAATATTACTTTCTAAAATCAAGGGCAAAACTTTTTCAATGACATTTTGGCTTAAATAATTGATAATGAAGCAGCACCAGTACACGAGGAAGACAAACTGAAGGATTTTAATTCATTATCCCTTTTAAAAGATTGAGAAAAATACCTTGGCCACTTTTCTCCAGTTGAGGCAGTCAAAGAAGTAATAGGTCCCTCTCTCGTAGGCATTGGTCTTCAGCGTGGGCTCCATACCCGGGGCTCGAGTGATCCAAACCCGCTCCTCTTTATGGTACCTCCAGTCCCGATTAAACCTGCATCAGACAGTTTTTCACTACGGCTCGACTTCGGAGATAAACAGAACGTGTGGAATGTTGTGATCTTACAGTTCTACAGCAGCCAGAAGTTGTAGCAAGTCTCCTCCGTTCATATAGTAAAGATAAAAAAGCAAATCCTCACCATACCGAGACAGTTTTATAGCTGCTAACTGAAAGTCGGAGCAGGATAAAAACATGTGAGAACAAAGATTAAACATGAGTGGGGTTGATGGTGGAGTATTTACCTTGTCCCTTATATGGATGTTGGTTAAATACTCTGAGGGGACATGGAAGTCTGCAAAAGGGAACACTGCTCACATCCAAAATCCAAAGTCAAACTAGATTCATTTAAAAAAGAAAACGCACCTATATCTTGCGGTCGACAAGGTGCAGACGCCCATGGTGATGCAAACTTAGGATAAAGATTCCTAAACGGGGAAGACACCGAAGATTCAACAGCAATAACAAATACATTTGAAAATCAATTATTTATCAAATTATACGAGAGTTGTCAACTTGAATGTTTTACGCGGAATTGATGAATGTTCATCCAGTTCCAGACTACACTACACTTTAGTCCAATGTTGATCCGTCTAATATTGAGACTTTTTAATGTGTTCAATGTATTTCTCATGCCACATTCATAATTAATGTAATAAATTATTCATATAATAATATTAATCTTATTGACCTATGCTTTCGTTATTATTCAACACTTATTATTTCACTTCACTTTCAGAGTTGCAAAGAAGGTGCACCAGCACTGCTTTAGGTGCAGCAGACACAATTCCATATGTTTACATTTAACACAATTATGTTTTGCATTTGACATGATTAAATCTCTTATATTGTTGATTAGAATGTAGGTTGTACAAAGCAATGACAATCGGTTTGGCCTTTTTAAATAGTAGTTTTTATTGTTTTGATGTTCAAGTGTGCACTTCTCTCATCTCTCACTATGCATCTCTCCAATGAGTACATTTCCAGAAAGTTCTGAGAAGAGATAAATCTAAGAATTTCAGTGCATAGTTCTGCTTCTTCAGATTCTAAACAGCAATAGACATATTTCTCTGCAATTATTAGGGCTAGAAACCTGACAGTTTTAAAGAAGAGATAGAGCTCTACACCAAAGTGTGTGTAAGAGTGAAAGACAGAAAGAGCCTGTGGTCAGTGCAGAACTGATGTGGCTCCAGTGGAGCCGGCGGTGCAACTCGGTGCAGCTATTTTGGAATTGTATTATTTTTACACATACCTTGTTAGAATCATATCTTTTACCTGTTTACCGTCATTGCACTATAATGCCAAAGCCAATTTCTATTTTCAGAATTGTTCCGTAACAGTGGCAATAAAAAGCTGATTCTAAGAGTCTTACTCAGGTGAGTTCAAGTTGAGCCCGAGTGTCGTCAAGTCGGAGCCCAATGCCAAGTGGACCATTCCTGGATCCGTTTCTGCTGCCCGGATAAACGTGAGCAACCCAATCATCCCAAACTGGTCTGTTACCATGCCAGCGGGGATGTTTGTCACTCGCCCTGAAAGCAGCAGGAAAAGCAGTCAGACACATTTTCATTCAGAAATAATACTTTCACTAACAGCCTGCTCCTCACCATCTGGAAGAACCTGGATTCCCTTCTTCTGCTGATTGTTGTTACTTGATGCTACAGAGCTTTTGTCACCTGGGAACTTTGGACCATCTGAGTTTGATGCAGACTTGCCTGACAAGTTTAGATTCTAGACAATAAAGTAAAAGGTATACATGTAAAGCCAAATTTCCCCACTGTGGGACGAATAAAGGAATTCTTATTTTATCTTATCAAATTGGCGTCTGCTGCTTTTACTACCCACAAGAAAATGTGATTACCGTTTTACTGTCTTCGTTGGTGTTGGTTGGATCTTTTGTTTGGTAGTTTGCACCAGGGAGAGCAGGGAAATCTTCATTGTGAATAGAAAAGTCCTGCGATTGCTCACTGGATGGTTTAGTTACCATGCCAACTTAAAAAAACAGAATTGCATGTTAATTGTTGTAGCAGAAAAGTCAAAGGTTTTTTGGGAAACTATATGAATGAGGTAAAAAAAAAAAAAAAAAAAAAAAAAAAATCAACAAAAAAGTTACCATAGGGAGCTCGACCGGCCAGCGGGTTGAGCAATGGAGTTGGATTTGAATTTCCATCCCTTCGACTTCTATCAGCTAATGCAGGGAAATCTGACAAGTCCAGCCCTGTCACATTTTCACTGCCATCTAGTTAGAAAAGTATCATAATGAAACAAGAATTAACATGATGAAATAAACATATGAGATCAGAGAGAGCTGTTACCTGTGCCATTGAAGATGTTGTTAGACATGGAGTTGTTCATGTTAAAGCCTGGATTCCTGTTTACCCCAAAACCTGACATACTGAACAAACAAAAACATAATTTTAATTTCCTAAATACACAAAACTTACTATACAGAGTTATGGCGATAGTCACTTGCAAAAAACCAGTAGCGGCACTTGAAAGTGACAGATGAAATGACATTCCCATGTGGTCGGAAAAAATAAATTATCTTTTATCATATTTCATTTCAAAATAACAAAATATTTAAAGGTTGGAGTAAAGTTTGTAAATCCATCAAAGTTACTACCAACCTAGTCGTGCAGAATTTTATAAAATTATAATTTGTCCTACTCCCTTTATTATCAATTTGTACTAAATTCTAGAAGCCAACTTAACACCATTGGTGAAAAAACAGATAAATAATAATCCTAACACATAACAACACAATTAAATGACAGTCTTGGTCTTTTGGTCTCAACATGTTTGCTTTGACCCACGATCAATTCATATAATTTTTTAACCCTTAATGCGGCAAAGTAACAGAATTGTTACACAAAGTCCAAAATATATTTATGTATTTCCATGAATGATTAAAGTAGTCGACCATCAGGGGGTCACCTTTTGTCTATTTCACAATACATTTCTCAAAAAGAAAATACTGGCACATAAAGAGTCAATATAATAAGTCAAAAATGACAACAAATATAAAATAAATGAATCATCAACTTTATTTTGGGAGCAGTGTTCACATTAATAAAGTCTGATCCAGACCGCATGAAAACATTCAATAAAACTAATATATTGTATAATATAACGACACGCAAGAGATAGAATTCTTGCATAAAGATGAATTTAGAACAGTCCGGTTTCAAGTATCACACTGATCATAATTGTAAAGTTCATTTGTGCTTCTTGCCTACCTGTTAATTGTAAAAGGTTGCCGTGTTTGTTGCTGCTTGGGCATCCCGATGATGCTTGGTGAGGACCGGCTCGGACTGCCCATGCTGCCGCTCCTGCCCCCGCTGCCTCCACCGCGCTCTCCGCCTGTACCGATTCCCCCAGACTGCCCCGTTGGGCCACCCACTTGCTGACTATGGTTCATGACATTTCCTCTGCTCATAGGTAGAATACTCCTGCAAAAAGCAAGAAAAGAAAACCATTTAGAACTGGGTACCACAAAATGAGTCCACGGAGGCCGGCTCTGGGTTACCTGCTGGGTGAAGGTGGCGTGTGCATTGTGCCCGTGTTTGGCGTACTGGCATGACTGGAAAGCTGGCTGGCAGACTGGTTCAACCCAGTTCGACTTAGCTGAGGCGCAGCACCACTGTTCATACCACGCATAGGAAAACCCAAAGCACCTGGCAGACAAATGCAAATCTTTTTTTTTACTATTATTATGATGTGATATTTAAAACACAAAAAAATGACAATTAGAACTATCATTTGTGTCGCGTTCACACTACAGTACCAAGTGAACCAGGAACAATTAACAGTCTACGTAGTCTCCATCTAGACAGGGCTTTAAAGTGAACTCAGTTCTTTGGACTGACGCAGCCTTAGGCGGAGTTTATACGGAGACAATGTGGCAGTAAAACGGTATAGTTGGATGACGGTTTCTACCAACCGTTCATACGAAGACCGTGTTCCAGGGGGGTGAAAACGTAAGTGTTCAGATCCAGCCTGCAGAGTGGGACAACTCAGAAACGCTGCACAGCGGGGAGCTCTTTCATACCCGCGAGAGGGGAAAAGGTGTGAAATCCCCCTCTGCTCTGACCCCCGCCTCCGCGCTGCTCCCCTTACGTAAATTTGGACATGCGCAGTAGCGGAGAACAAACATAAACAACAATGGCGGCCGGTAAACTAACTTAAACTAACTAAACTAACTAGCTTCGTGGGCTTCCAGCGCTGCACAGAGGAAGATTCTACTCCTTCGTTCGTCCAAACGAGACCACGCGAAGCTCTAGGTTCAGTTTCCATTTTCACAGCTGCTGTTAAAATGCAGAATGATGTTGGTGCGTTCTGAGGGTCTGGTACAGGAAGTGAGTATACTGCCGAGAGGGGGGCTGGGCACGGGGCTGGGGGTCGTGTGAGTGTTGTAAAGTTTCTCTGCCCACTAGTGGCCGGGCGCTAGAACTACATCGTTTTTCAACCTCATGTGAACGCTGAGAAATTTGCATTAGGAGCCTGGTTGTTTCTGTTAATAGCCTGGAAACGTCTGCGCAGCGTCTCAGTATAAACAGGGCCTTAGTTTGAACTGGTCTCTGCAGGAAGTTTGGCTATTTTGTTTTTCCATATTGAGAATATGTAAAGGTAGCTCTTCCAAGATGAGCTTGACTAATATGGCTAGCTCTTGTTACAATCTTCTGAGGATTCTAAATAAAAATCACGGACTGCAGCAAAAAAGTTTTAGTTTTGTTTTTTAAGACACTAAAGACAGGTACAACCTTATGTTTTAGTGGCACAAACATTGTGATTGCATTACAATGAATATAAAAGAAAGAGATCTTACTTTGTGGGCCATATAAGCTGGCTCCTAGTTGTGATAATTGACCCGTTGAGGAGGCAGAAGAAGATGCCAACATCTGAACACAAAACAGAACAATGCAAAGTAAATTCATTTTGAGATAGAACCATAGTGCTACAGCTGCTATCATGGTGCTTTCAGACCTCAAACGCTCAAACGCTGAAGCCTCGCTCACCAGACGCGCATTCTCTAGTTTTCAGACGCACGGGACTTCACACCAGAACGTCCTGACCAGCGCCGGAAGTGGCGGAAGCAGCCGGCCGGCTCTGATACTAACAGAGTTATGCTAGCGGCTTCTCGTGTAAAGATCTTCTCCAATAATGCAGCTTTGCAGAGTGTCTGTGTTCAGAGACCTTCCACGGACTTTATATAACAGTAGTATGTGTTCACGGAGGTGCGCAATAGTTTAATTTTATTATTAAACGGTACTTCCGCATCGGCGAACACACTCGAAGCAGTTGCATAAGGTCACGGGAGCATGACAACGCATATATTCACAAGCACACAGTCCCCCATTGTCCTAGTTAAAACCCTGGTTTTAAGTCGTGGTGTAGCTCTTGTTTTGGCTGTTTACAGAATGTTCAGTCTGCTCGCTCAGACCACTAATGTCCCCGTGACCACTTTGCGGCTCTCTGATTGGTCGCTACACGAACGTCCCGAGGAAAGGTTGAGCAAAGTTTATCTCCTGTGGGCGTCGATTTTCCGCTCCTGCTCCTCCCCTTTGACTTTCCTGCGCAGTCCGTGCGTCCCGAGATGTTTGTGCGTTTTGACACTCGAAAGCGCGTCACCATTGACTTTGCATTGAAAGCCGACGCAACGCATGATCCGGTCTGAAAGCACCATTAGTCAGAGCAGATCATGTGGGCACACTCTGTCGACAGGACTTTCGTCATTTATGGCTTCCCAGAGCACTCTCATTCAAAACAATTGTCCCCCATCTTGGACTCATATTCCAGGTTTATATTACAGATCTATGACCCCTATGTGTCACAGTTTGGTGGAATCATTTACAATTGAATTTCCTGGATTTGGGTCTGACAGAGCCCGGGTGGTCTTGGTCTCCCAAGTGTGAGGATGAGCTCTTAACCAAAAATATTTCTAAAGAGGTGATTGTCAGGTGTATCTGCAGTTATTGGTGTTTTGCAGGCTTTACAATAGTACTGTAACTTTTATCCAGGCATAACAGGATATGGTTTTTATTCTGTTATCTCACATCTTTGTCAGCGCGGTGTGGAGGGAACATGGACTGCTGGCTGTAGTAGAGGCTGGTGTCATCTGTGTAATCGCTCTCTACCCCTCCCTCCATAAACTTCTTCCGGTTAGCACCAAACATGCCGTGTGTCACCTGCAAAAGCACACATGAACACGTTAAGCCTTTCATACATGTGAATGTTTATTTATGAATTATTAGACGATTATTAGTATTTAGACAGAAAAAGAAAGATGATTGATATGGAAGTGTGATTGAATAGTAACAAATAAACATTTAGCAGTAGGTTGAATATTGATGGACTTATTTGTTATTGTTCCGTTATCAATTTGTATTTATTTCATTTGTTTGTTTAAACACACAAAAACAATCAAAACAGGTCCAGGGCAGAAATATAAAAATATAAATGTAAAAAAAATCTGTTATATTTACCATTATTACAAATTAGTAATATGAAAATCATAACATCATGTATTAGATGGCATAAGGTAACATACCTTCTAAAATAAAAGGAAAAGTGGAATTATTAACAGACTGCACCTGGTGGGCCATTCATAAGGAGCAAGCTACATATATTAGTACCTCAACATGCTAACATCAACTTTGTAGAGCTATCCTACTAAAAACAGAGGCAGTATATATCTCATACACGAGTGTGTGTCTTGATCACGCAGTTTGTATGTTGCACAGTGACACTTGTGTTTCCCAGTCTTTGATGCAGTGTGTCACATTTCTTAAGGTTTTACAGTTTTGCTGCTGCAGCACAACAGCAAAGACAACTAGCCTTCACTACCTTATCGTTACTCTGGTCCATACAAGCTGAATGCATTAGGCTGTGCACTACACAAATACAAATAACAAATCATCTCTAATAACCACAACAACTTGTGTTCATGTTTAGTACTAGCGCACTGTGCTAACGTACACATTATTACAGGTTAGCATCTAAGCTAACACTCAGTACAATGCAGAAGATTTGGCTAAATGTCACAGAAAACAAACGTCAACGGTTAGTGACAAAAGCGTCTTAACAACCGCTATGTGCACACAATGGTCATTTGCAGGTAACGTAGTCAGGTTTGACAGATAAAACAGTGTTTCATCGTAACTGGGCCTACTGCGCCTCTGAGTTCTCCCACACAACAACAACAGAAAGAAACTACTTATTTTAGCAAAAGAAAATAAGTGTGTAAAAAAGCAAATCCTTTCACCGTGGAGCCGTATTCTCCCTCCACGTGTGGGTGATTCCGGTGCATGTATATTCTGAATAAATAAAGGCTATAAAACGTATAAAAAGACTCACCGCATCAATCTTTCTTCACCGCTACAATCCAAGATGGCCGTCATCCCTTCTCCAATCAGCGAGGAGGATGCTGGGATGCCTTTCGCCTGGACCTGAGCCTGCATCACTCTCAGACCCAAGGCATGCTGTCTAAAGAAACAGGTATGTTGTCCAAGAAACTGTTTGTCTTATCATTTCAACTCTATATTTATCATTTTGCAAATTGATTATGATTTTCTTTTTCTTTTAAAAAAAGAGGGACAGCCAATGTATGTTTATTAGATTTTACTTCTCTGGTTTGTACTTTACCAGTTCTATCAATAGTTTTTACATCAAAAAGTTTTTTTTTTCTCATAAGATAAGGCAGCATGTTGTCGCCTAATTTATAATGTTACTTAATCAAGGCTCCCTCTATTGCCACGGTTAACATTTACATTTCTACAGGTTGGACCTACCAGGGGCGACAGTAGCTCAGTTGGTAGAGCATTGGCCTTTGGGCCTGAAGGTCGTGGGTTCACTTCACGACTCCCACTGATGACTGCTGTCGTTGTGTCCATGGGCAAGACACTTAACCCCACTTTGCCTGAAGCCCCCACTGAAAGATCTCAGCTCCTGTGGACTCACCACCTGCAGGAGGATCAGTGAGGGGCTGGTGCTCTGTGTACTGGGTACAGCTCTCACACTCATTATGGCTCATTATAACACACTTGCTAATGGATTGATAGATAGATAGATACTTTATTGATCCCCGTAGGAGAAATTCAGGTGTCCTTTAGCAGCAATTATAAAATTGATCATTCTGAAAAAAAATAATAATAATAGTATTAATCAGCCATAGGCCATCAGGTCACAGCAGCAAAGATGGAGTGGTGTCTGGGTGGAGCAGGAGGGGTCACTGTAGCAGAGATGGATTAGCCACTGGGTGGAGCAGGACAGGTCACGAGGTGGAGTAGCCGCTTGGTTTGGACCATTTTCTATTATGCTCTTGTCCAAAGTAAAATGCTGAATGGTTTGTTTGAATTTTTCTAAAAGTTTCCATTCCTCCAGTGGATTTTCACCTGATTCGCTTTGGGACCATGAATCCTCTCTGCTCCGGTCTGGACCAGTGTAAAACCATGAACACTGTACTGCAGCAACATCTCAGGTAGAAAAAAGCAATAAAAATGATAAAGCATATATATTTTTATTCTGTATAATTCATCAATTTAACAATCCAGAATCATTTAAACACAATATAACATTGACAGGATGAGGTTTATGTGAAACACTGTAAGCATGTACAGTACACAGATAAAGTTTAAGTTTAAGATAAAGTTATTTCTGATTAGTGCTTGTCCGGGAAGGGGTGACGTTGGCTCACTTGGTTGAGCATTGAACTTTGAACCTAATGGTCATGGGTTCAGTCCCCCACGACCCATGTCATCTGCTTCCATCGATGTCTGCCGTCGCTGTGTCCCTGGGCAAGACACTTAACCCCATGCACTTTGCTTGAAGACACCAAGGTTGTGCCTTTGTTGATGGAGCAGCCCCCAACCCAGAGATGGACTAACAAAGGGGATGAAAATGAATGAATTAACTTGTTCAGGAATAGTTTGGCTGAACTATAGATGATAAAAATATAATTTACATTTTCATAGAATATAGAAAATGCTGTAAAAAATAAATTAAAGCTGGAGTGTCTACCTTTGAAACCACAAATAATGAATTTTAATACATTTCAACAGTTGAAAACAGTTCTATCATTGGGTTTCACATGCATGTATTTTTGATGCATCAGTTTTTTCTAGTGAAAGCCTTTACTCAATTCAACAATCAGAGTTTCTCACAAGATAAGGTAGCATGTTGTGGCCTAATCACTCCAGACTCCTTCTATTGGATCAAAAAACATCTCTACATTAAACATAAAACATGAAGAAGAGTTAAAGGAGACCTATAATGTCAAATCAACAAAGAAAAGGATTAAACCAAGTCACAACTTTGTTTCCCCATCAAAAACAGACCTGGGGTTGTTTTTAGATCCATTAAGAGTAATATCAGGAGCTTCTGGCACAATAGTATAACTCTACCCCTTCTTAAAAAGCTCCTGTCTCATGCTGTGATGGCACAAACTCTGCATGAGACGCAGGAGCTTTTAGATAGAAGGGGTATAGAGTTATACAATTGTGCCATCAATTAATCAAATAATTGATTGTATATAGGGGCGACAGTAGCTCAGTTGGTCGAGGGTTCGATCCCACCACGACCCATGTCAACTGCTCCCACTGATGTCTGCTGTCGTTGTGTCCCTGGGCAAGACACTTAACCCCAATGTGCCTGAAGTCCCAGCTGAAAGACCGAGGCTGCATCTGTGTCGAAGGAGCAGCCATCTTCCCGTGGACCCACCACCTGCAGGAAGATCAGCAAGGGACTGGTGCTGTGTGAATTGGGTGGCAGTTCTGATTGCCTCCCCCCTGACCCAGAAATGGAAAATAAAGGGATGTAAATGAAATGAAATGAAATAAAATGAAATGATTGTATTTGTACATATTCACATTTGTAATGAGAATCAACTTAATTGCTTATGGATTCATCAACACAGTGAGCTGCACATGTTTCACCCCCACCACCGGCCGCCTCCTGAAGGCTCTGATTTTGGGAAGTCAGAAGATTACGTAGTTATTGCCAAATTTCCCAGATTGCATGAACGTTCACAAAACCTTTTGTCAACGTGATGCTCCATCCTTCCCTCACTCAAAACCGAGCCTTAAACTTGGGGAAGGACAGAAGAGGGAAAGCATAACCTTCCTCTGGTCAGACAGAAGACAGTGGTGGACAGCAGATGACAGGAAATTCCTCCCAACAATAGTCTTACAGGGACCTTTTCTGAGGTACTGGACAAAGGGCTCCGTGCTCTGTCTGTACTCCTTGAGACCTTGGGAGGCAGTGTTGAATGCCTTATACAATATTTAAAACATGTGGACCAATCCTACAATCCTCGAGAACACACTAAAGGCAGCTGTTTGAGTCTTCCACGACCAGGACAATGCCACACTGACAGACTTCACCGTGGAGGTGTAGGGGGATCCCACTGTGATCGGAGCACACCCTCTGGGATTTGAACACACAATGGTCCTCCTTCAGCTCCGTCCCTGAGTGCCCTGGGATACTACAGCGATGTTCAACATCTCAAGTTGTGGCTCATTATAACACACTTGTTAATGTAGACAAGACACTTTAGAGATATGTTTTTATTTTATTATCTTTTCTGCATAATTCAACAATTTAACAATCAGGAATCATTTAAACACAATATAACATTAACAGGATGAGGTTTATGCGAAACACTTCAACCATTTATACACAGATAAAGTTTTAAAGTTTGGCTTTTAACCAATTTGGCAGCAATATTTTTGGGAATAGTGCCAGTAAAGGTTCTTAATGAATGGAGGCAGCTTCACACATGATTCATTTATACCCTACTAACAGGCAGCACACAACACTACCCCTTCTATGGCTGAACTATCACAATATCCTTGGGTTACATTGATTCAAGGGCTATTATCTGTTAAATCATGCAGTTGAGTACTGAGGTAAGAATTAAAACAATAAAAAGTCAGAATGGAACAAATGTATCTTAATTTATATAAAATACACTTATGGGCCGTATGGTACCACATGCTGAGCACAAAATCACAGCGCTCGATTGGGAGCCACTGTTTGTATTTCAACCAAAAGATTCTGATCCTGATTCCATAACCATGATATAAGGGGCACAAAGCAAACATATTTCGGGGAAACTCATGTATTCATGCATACTCAATACTGTGTTAAGGGACAATATGTCAAGTGCTCTTGGCTTTCTTTAGCCAGCTGGCAGCTTCACACATTATTTTATGCCATCAAGGCGACAGCATTTCTAAAGTCGTTAAATGCTCTGGATCAAAGCGGCATGTCAGCCAGGGAACAATGAGCTCTCTGACTCGGGTGTATAGTAGAAGACAACACTGTTGAGTAAATTCTTTCTGTTTTGTTTTAATCTTCATAGGAAATCCATAGTGCTTCCAAAGGCATACACAACAGGGTCTTCTGTGGATCTTAATAAGTCTTTTTGGTTAGTGGCACGACTGTGCCTGTTTTTGGTTTTAAAATGTGAAATCCTATCATATAAATATCAACAGTTCAATACTTTCATTGTAAATTTACACATAATAATTTAACATATTCAAAGATGCAGTGTAAAAATCTGCAGACTCTTCTCAAATGCACAAACTAACTGTGCTTCATTTTTTCGGAGACAGTGATATGCAAAAGGAAACAGCTGGACAAAGAGAGATAGCAGCTTCAAGGAAACACAAGGATCACACTTCACAACTGTCAAATCAGGAGGAATACACATTAAAATGAACAAGGCATTCTCAAATTGTGGCCAGTATTCGTCAGAGTTTGTTGACAAAAGATTTAAAGCAACTTTGAATTACCTCTGCAGGGGGTTGTGTTCATCTGTGTTGATTGTTTTGTTGTCGGTAAAAATCCGTAAATCTCGATACAATCTTTGAACAAGGAATAATTGATTTGACTTCGGAGGCGATCTGGATCAACATCCTCCAGACTTTGGAACAGCGCCTCTTGGTGGAGGTTTGAGCACATGCTCTTCTGGTTTAATTGATCCAATTTTGGTCATTCATGTATTAATAATTTAAAAAACAAATAACTGCAGTGATTACATAGCATTTGCATTACACTACTTTCCAATTAGACAGTCTCATTGGTGAAATGCCTTATTATTTACTTATTATTACATTATTATTTAGCCCTCACTTACTACATACTGTCCCTTTAACGGCATGATGGCATTGTAAAGAATGTGTTACTCAACCAGGTCAAATGATTGATTCATGGATCAGTGTATATCTTAAGGACTGCTCTTGCAGCTTAGTTTCTATTTCACCTTTTAAAGGCATTCAAAACATATCAAAAAAAATATTCAGTTATTATTAATACATGTTTTTTTCCTGGTTTCAAATTGAGGCATTAGACTTAGATTAAATATTATCCTCGAGCAGCAGTTCTCAAACTGGGGGCAGCCCCAGTTTGAGAACTGCTGCTGTCCCCCAGGGTTCAAGACACTAATTTACCAATTATTTGATACAAAACATTATCATTGGTGAATTTAGGTCACAAAACACATTTTGCCATTGTGTTTCCTTTAAAATTGTCAGCAGTAGCAATCCACAGGGTCATTTCAAACATATGTTGGTGTTCCCTGAGTGGAGGATTTGAGAACCCTTATTCTTGAGTGTTTTTATCATTGAATAAATGGGCACTATTTGAAAATGTATATTCCATTTTTCTGCCAGTCCCATTCTTGTTTCACACATACTCATATCACATAGTTATGTAGTTGATATGTAGGAAGATGTACAGGTTGACGGCAAGAGAAACAGGCTACACACAGAGAGAATAAATACTTGAGATTCAAGTCAAACAGTACTAAGTGTCACCTGATTCCACAGCTAAGACGTGGTGACGAGGAGATGGGGCGTGTGCTCTTAATGGTTAGACCCTGAATGCATGTGGCAGTTTTAGATGTGTTTACAACACTCGTCTCATATGGGCTATGGCTTAGGCCCTAGTCAGGCATGAGGGCATCCAGTAAAAAAAAAGACGAGAAGATCTGGTCCTCCATTGTTCATATTTCTATTGAATTTTTCAACTGACTCAGGCGTGCTTAAAATCTTAGAAAAATAGAAATCAAGAAAACGTTACAAAAATAAACAAAAACAAGTCAATCCACGTGACAATAAGATCCACTGATATTGCACAGCAACATGTCTTCTTTGATATGACACTATTTAATTAAAAAGAACACATATGATATCAAATAGATCCAAAAACGCTTTTCTTAATATCCCTCCAACTGAGAGAAGTATAATCCAATCTTCCTTCCAGATCAGGCAGAGATGAAGAATTATCGGAATCGATTGTTTCCAATGTGAGACGATGTTTGCTTCAAGGCACAGAGTTGCGAAAGAAGTTGATTGGACCTTATGGATGTGGAGCAGCAGCAGACGGTCCTGGAGGATGGCTTCTGTTGGTTTCAACTCTCTGAAAAGACAAAGGTGAGCTTTAGTACCAGGTTATTTACTTTATTAATGATCCCAATGCTTCTACAACTGTAATGAAAAGGGGGTGATATCAAAAGATTCATATGGCAATATGATATTGTCATATAAATATTCTGAGTAGAGGGATGGAACAAAGTTATGTTTTGTTGTAACCAAAAGAAATAATCAAAATAACAAATAATAAATGTAAAATGTCACATCATAATATACATACTGTATATTAGGTATCATGTATGTAAGCCACCTTTACTTTTGGTTTCAATAAACACCAGAAGAAGAAGATATATTATTTTAGCCTGATACATTTAAACAGCTGGAGCAGGAACACATATTCTTTATAAGACACCACAGGCAGCGTGATTAAATGACAGATTTGAAAGAATATTCATGCCTCAGGACATGTATTAAGGTCAGTGCATTGCAATATTTTATTGTATTGATCTCTATATCAAGGGCCAACATTGTGTAGTGTTCCGGTCCTAATGAAGACAGGATATAGATTGTATTACTTAGTTATTTGTGATCCATGCTAAAACAGCAGCTGACAATTAGCATACTTTCCTTAGCTCGTTTATGATGCATAATAACAGGAGCGGTCGATATGTGACCCTCGGCTGCCCACCCCCACAGCATCTTCCTCGAAGTTAATCCCACCCACAGCAGCAGATGGTGCTGGAAGCATGTTCCCTCAACTGCTCCTGTAGTTATGAATGATTGCGAGGTTTTAAGCATTAAGTTGGATCAGTGTAATCCAGCACAGCATATGCAACTACCCACAAGGCCACATCCAGCAGCATTTAGGAGAGTCTCACTTTCTCCATTACCAAAGCCACAAACAGCCAGGAGGTATGGGCCGCACTCACTACACCTACATCACAAAGGCAAGAAGTCAGAGGTACAATATAAATGATCAGGGTTGGTCCAACACATCTCTCAATACTATTCTCTATTTGTTGATACTCAATATCATAATATAACATATTATAATATGGTGTTATTGAGCCAGTAGTAATAAACTTGTAGGATCTGACCTACAGAAAGAAACATACAGTATATGAACATCAATATATGTTCACATATGTTTTTTTCTGTTTTGGCCCCATGACAACTTTAAGCAGGCCTTAAGTCTGAAAGCTTTTTTTCTGAATGAACAACTCAACAATGATGATCCTCTGATCACTGACTCTGCAGCAGTCGCTAAAGGATCTGTGCAGAGAGAGAGGCAGACCATTAGTGGGAGATACATGCTTGTCCAGATGTTGTACTTTTCATTCTGTTCCCCAACAACAAATTGTTTACAATGGAATTTTATATTCAATTTTCTGCTATATGAATATTTAAGATGTAACTCATTTTTTGGAAGAAGTAATGTTAATATTATCATAATAATTATCATTAAAGCTCTTAGGATTTTCAATGACTCTTCTGCCACCCTGCCATGTTCCAGCTTCTTCCCTCTGGCAGAAGATATCGTTCTCTGAGATGCAGGACATCTCGTTATGCTAACAGCTTTTTTCCACAAGCTGTTATCAGTTTAAACAGAGCACTTTAATGATTTGTACTTGTTTTGAAACTGTTTTAGCCGATCGATTTCACAGTGTCAATTGTTTACTGTTTTATTTGTTTTATTTCTGTCTTTTAATGTTGTGTTATGTCTGTACAGTATTTGTCTGTGCACACTGGAGACTTTTTGCTAATGTATTCCAATGTGTTTTTTTTAACTGCAAATGGCAAATAAACTGAATCTGATTATGAGCTGTTGGTTTGATTACTAAAAGGTCCAAGTGGTACTTCATTGTAATGCAAGTAGTAAGTATAGCTTTGGAAAGAAGTGATTTCCTAAAGGCTCTATTTTTGAACATCTGTAAAAAAAAAAAAAAAAAAAAAAAAAAAGGTAGATTGTCAGAATTTATTGGCTACATTTGAAGATGAAAAGCTTTTCTGGCTTATGTGGTGACTAGACACTAGGAGGCACTGCAGGATATCCATTGGTGTCTGGGTTGTGGGAGACTCTTCTTCTTGGTTTAATTTCCATTTTTTCTTAAATGAAAAATATATCTTCATCAGTATTTATGGATTAAATTTCTGCACATATTTGCCGCTGGATAGATGAAGGCAAAAATGTGGAGTGAACTGTGTCTGTGTCATCTGTATTACGAGGAGGATATGGACTTGCACAAAGGCTGGCTGACCTTTTGTTATACGTTCTGATTAAACTATGACATTTGGGTGCTCTTTCGCTCCAGCGGCCTCATCCTCCTCAGCACTATTTTAAGCATAAATGTGTTTCATAGAGGGATGCAAAGCAGATTAAGGCATAAGAGTCATACACATTGTTGGAAGAGACGCAATACTGGTTAGAAGATAAATCCTGCAACAACTGTATTGAAAGGTATTTGTTTTCTGATTCACCACCGATTTGAAGAAAGATTAAAAGATTTCTTTTATTCGTCCCACAGTGGGGAAATTTCAGTGTTGCATCACAAGTTATAGAACAGTGAGGAGCACAAGATAAGTAAGTAAGTAATCTTTATTTATATACCGCCTTTCACAGACCAGAGTCACAAAGCGGTTTACATTTGTTATTTTTGGGCACTTGTCCTCTCACTCCACAAAGAGATAGATGGGAGCGGGGTCACCGAACAGGAGGCGCATGCCAGACCTATTGTACATATTTTTAGTGGTAGGGGAAACCGGAGTACCCGGAGGAAACCTACGCAAACACGGGGAGAACATGCAAACTCCACTCAGAAAGGCCCTGGTCCGACCGGGATTCGAACCCAGGACCTTCTTGCTGAGAGGCTTCTTCTTGCTATCCACTCAGCCACCATGCCTTACTTTAGTGCAAGCAAAGTGTAGTTATATGTTAGCATCTGTACATGTTAGCAGCAGTATGTTTACATCTGTACATTAGCAGCAGTATGTTTACATCTGTACATTAGCAGCATGAGGCCCAGTGACTCAGTAAAGTGACAGTGACATGTGGTTATTGCACATTCTGATATAAGTTAAGGATTTTGCAACGATGCATCGAGTGGGATCGAGTTGGCAGTGTTCATTAGTCCTTATTGTTTGTTGTACAGTCTGACAGCAGCAGGAAGGAAAGACCTGCGGAACCTCTCCTTCACACATCGAGAATGAATAATTCTGTCACTGAAGCTGCTATCCAGAGCAGAGAGAGTGTCCTGTAGGGGGTGACAGTCATGGTCCAGATGTTAGTTTGTCCAGGACCCTCCTGTCCCCCACCTGCTGCAATGACCAGAGAACAGCCCAGGACTGAGCTGGACTTCCTGATGACCTTGTCCAGCTTCTTCCTGTCCCGCTCTGTGATGCTGCCTCTCCAGCAGACCACACCGTACAAGAGGCTGATGCCACCACAGAGTCATAGAAGGTCTTTAGGAGTGGCCCCTGCACTCCCTCCCTTCCCCGGATGTTCACTGGGGCTGGTGCCGTAGAGTGACGTCGGCGGAAATCCACCACCATCTCCTTGGTGTTCCCCGCATCGATGAGGAGGTGGTTTCGCTGACACCAGTTCACAAAGTCCTGTATAACTCCTCTGTACTCTGTGTCATCGTCCTCGGAGCCGAGTCCGATGATGGCAGAGTCGTCAGGGAACTTCTGTAGGACACAACCGTCCGTGTTGTCACTGAAGTCCGCAGTGTAGAGGGTGAAGAAGAACAGCGCAAGGACTGCCCCCTGGGGGGGCCCCACACTGCAGTTCAGGAACTCAGACACAAAGTCCCTGGTTCTCACAAACTGGGGTCTGTCTGTGAGGTAGTCCAGGATCCACTGGGACAGGTTGTAGTCCACTCCTGCTGTCTCCAGCTTGTCCCTGAGAAGTAGGATCAAGGGTGGTGTTGAAGGCGCTGGAGAAGTCGAAGAACAGAATCCTCACAGCAGAGCCAGGAGATGATAGCATCCTGAATTCCGATGCCCGGCCGGTAGGCAAACTGCAGCGGGTCCATTGCTGAGGTCAGAGTGGAGCGGAGATGTCCCAGGACCAGTCTCTCCAGTGTCTTCATGCAGTGGGATGTTAGAGCCACTGGCCTGAAGTCGCTGAGGTCTTTGGCCCGGGGTTTCTTGGGCACTCATACCACACACTGGAGGTCTTCCAGAGCTGTGGTACCGACCTCAGCCCGAGGCTCAGGTTGAACACATGCTCCATCACTCCACTCAACATGAAACAACTCATATCTTATATCTTGTATTTATGCAATTGTACTATTATCTGCAAATTAATTTCCACAATTGGTAAACAATAATTTTTCTTTCATCAACATATGGTAATTTCCCTGTTGCTCTAAAGTATCTTTTGAATGATAGAAGACCCATAGATTTGCCCTTCATTAATTTAAGAAAACTGAAACATTGATTTGATTACATGTAAAACTCCTCAAATAGTATTCAGGGAAACTGAAAACTCTCCTCCTAAGGTACAGAACGGATTCCATAATGAGATGCTTTCCATAATTGTAGACTAAACGGAAGCAAGAAAGCGTATGTGCCTCAATATTTAGGACTACTTTAAAATCAATGTGTATCTCGGTGTGTGGAGATACTATTTCAAACGATATATAACAGAAAACATACTCAATAAATAAAAAGCTGTTTCAAAAAGAAGTACTGAAATGTGGATGAAAGAGAGTAATGCCACAAGCACAGAGCGAGTAGTGGGAGAGAGGTGTAGGGTCCGAGAGGATTTGGGCCTGTGTCTAGTCTGTGTGTGTGTGTGTGTGTATGTGTGTGTATGGATGTGTGTGTCTGTGTGTGTCTGTGTATGTGTGTGTGTATTACTGTATGTTCTGTGCACTTTTTTATTTTACTACATGATATTGTTATTGCTTTGAAACATATACTTGTTATTTGTCTGTTTTGTGCTGTACAAGTTCAAAATGAATAGTATATCTATATTGAAATACTGGTCTGTATACTGTATACTGTTTACACGTTTACACTTGTATAAAAATATGTGTGATAGAATACTAGAATAATAATATCCATCCATTCATTTTCTTCCACTTGAAAGACCTGAAACACCTCCTCAGGCATGTCCCTCCAATGTGTCCTGGGTCTTATGGGTCTCCTCCCGGCGGGACATGCCTGAAACACCTCCCCAGGAAGGCGTTCAGGGAAAAAATAATAATATAATGAAAACAGATTAAGTCAAATATGAAGTAAAGATTTGTATCCTTTGAATGTATTCTGTCCATTCCACTTGCTGCCCTGCATGTTCAAAGGCATTATTGTAATATTTGCCACAATTCAATTAAATGTGGTTAATTGATATTTTGAAAGTTTGCATTTCATTTGATTTCTATGGATGGATTTTAAAGGATTCATTTTATATCAGGAAACTTACTTTTGAATACCACAAATACAGTTGTACTACAATAATCCTAAGCTTTGTGTTTTCAAGCTTCTTGTTTTCATTTTTTTTCCTACAAAAGAACTAAGTTTACAATGTTTACAACGACCAGAAACAGTCTTTTACAGACCCCAACAACTTTTCTTCCAGGATCGTCATATATATTTTGCACTATCCACCATTCCTTCAACCCTGACACATTTCTGTCCCTGCTAAAGAAAGCAGTCCTCCAACTCACTCTCACTATCACATGACCCAGAGAGGAGGCTCCTTACTGTACGTACAAGAGCGGGATTCCACATGCTTGTTTTCCGCTACGTTCTCCAAAAATCTGCAACTTCTTCTTGTCTAACTGCATGCATTAGATCAACACGCACAGTTTAGATTGCTCCAAACAGGAAATACATTGAGAAGAATACTTGTCTACAATACAAATGCAACGCAGGACCAAGAGGAAAAAGGAGGCTCCAAACCTCCACCAAGTCCAGACACTCATTGGCCCCAGAGAGGAGGCTCCTTACTGTACGTACACAAACAGGATTCCACATTCTCTGCTAGTAGTCTCTGCTACAATCTCCAAAAGTCTGCACTGGCGATCTTGTCTGACTGCATGCATCAGATCAAGCCCCACAGTTCAGATCACTCCAAAAGGGAATACAATGAGAAGAAAAGAGTCATCTACAACGTAAATACTGTCCATGAAGACTTAATAGGGATTGGATTACTAATGACTGGTGATTGAATCCAGAATGATTTTGATATATCAGGCTCAGCACAATGTGAACTCTGCCTCTCAAATGCAGAGAAGAGGCAACTCGTTCAGGAAGATTTCCCCCTCGTAGTGGAGAGAGAGAGAGATAAAGGCAGGGGACAGGCCATAGGTGCATTCTGGAGGAGCACAGACCCAGCCGCTTTGACAAGAGCGACAACAGCAACGCCAGCGACAACAGCAACAACTGTGACAACAGTGACAACAGTGACAACAACGACAACAGTGACAACAGTGACAACAGTGACAACAACGACAACAGTGACAACAGTGACAACAACGACAACAGTGACAACAGTGACAACAGTGACAACAACGACAACAGTGACAACAGTGACAACAACGACAACAGTAACAACAACGACAACAGTGACAACAACGACAACAGTGACAACAGTGACAACAGTGACAACAACGACAACAGTGACAACAGTGACAACAACGACAACAGTGACAACAGTGACAACAACGACAACAGTGACAACAGTGACAACAGTGACAACAACGACAACAGTGACAACAGTAACAACAGCGACAGCAGTGACAACAGTGACAACAACGACAACTATGACAACAGTAACAACAGCGACAACAGTGACAACAGTGACAACAGTGACAACAACGACAACAGTGACAACAGTGACAACAACGACAACAGTGACAACAGTGACAACAACGACAACAGTGACAACCAACGACAACAGTGACAACAGTGACAACAACGACAACAGTGACAACAGTGACAACAGTGACAACCAACGACAACAGTGACAACAGTGACAACAGTGACAACAGTGACAACAGAGACAACAACGACAACAGTGACAACAGTGACAACAACGACAACAGTGACAACAGTGACAACAACGACAACAGTGACAACAGTGACAACAACGACAACAGTGACAACAGTGACAACAACGACAACAGTGACAACAGTGACAACAACGACAACAGTGACAACAGTGACAAAAACGACAACAGTGACAACAGTGACAACAGTGACAACAACGACAACAGTGACAACAGTGACAACAACGACAACAGTGACAACAGTGACAACAACGACAACAGTGACAACAGTGACAACAACAACAACAGTGACAACAGTGACAACAGTGACAACAGAGACAACAACGACAACAGTGACAACAGTGACAACAACGACAACAGTGACAACCGTGACAACAACGACAACAGTGACAACAGTGACAACAACGACAACAGTGACAACAGTGACAACAGTGACAACAACGACAACAGTGACAACAGTGACAACAGCGACAGCAGTGACAACAGTGACAACAACGACAACTATGACAACAGTAACAACAGCGACAACAGTGACAACAGTGACAACAGTGACAACAACGACAACAGTGACAACAGTGACAACAGTGACAACAACGACAACAGTGACAACAGTGACAACAACGACAACAGTGACAACCAACGACAACAGTGACAACAGTGACAACAGTGACAACAACGACAACAGTGACAACAGTGACAACAGTGACAACCAACGACAACAGTGACAACAGTGACAACAGTGACAACCAACGACAACAGTGACAACAGTGACAACAGTGACAACAGAGACAACAACGACAACAGTGACAACAGTGACAACAACGACAACAGTGACAACAGTGACAACAGTGACAACAACGACAACAGTGACAACAGTGACAACAACGACAACAGTGACAACAGTGACAACAACGACAACAGTGACAACAACGACAACAGTGACAACAGTGACAACAGTGACAACAACGACAACAGTGACAACAGTGACAACAACGACAACAGTGACAACAGTGACAACAGTGACAACAACGACAACAGTGACAACAGTGACAACAACGACAACAGTGACAACAGTGACAACAACGACAACAGTGACAACAGTGACAACAACGACAACAGTGACAACAGAGACAACAACGACAACAGTGACAACAGTGACAACAACGACAACAGTGACAACAGTGAAAACAACGACAACAGTGACAAAAACGACAACAGTGACAACAGTGACAACAACGACAACAGTGACAACAGTGACAACAACGACAACAGTGACAACAGTGACAACAACGACAACAGTGACAACAGTGACAACAACGACAACAGTGACAACAGAGACAACAACGACAACAGTGACAACAGTGACAACAACGACAACAGTGACAACAGTGACAACAACGACAACAGTGACAAAAACGACAACAGTGACAACAGTGACAACAATGACAACAACGACAACAGTGACAACAGTGACAACAACGACAACAGTGACAACAGTGACACCAACGACAACAGTGACAAAAACGACAACAGTGACAACAGTGACAACAGTGACAACAACGACAACAGTGACAACAGTGACAACAACCCCATTCTCTCTCGGGGCAACACGGAGACGCTGATGCATGCTTTTATAACCAGTCGCATTGACTACTGTAATGCCCTGCTCTCTGGTCTTCCCAAAAAGAACATTTCAGGTTTACAATTACTCCAAAACTCGGCCGCACGTGTCCTGACTAAGACCAGGGGGCGGGACCACATTACACCGGTTTTAAAATCGCTGCATTGGCTCCCCGTGTGTTTCAGGATCGATTTTAAGGTTCTTTTAATGGTTTTTAAATGTCTTAATGGTCTTGGGCCTTCTTATCTTTCAGATTTGCTTTTATCCTATGAACCTTCCCGGCCCCTGCGCTCCTCCGGCAGCAGACTTCTAACCATCCCCAAAGTCAGGACACACACTCACGGTGAGGCATCTTTCCAGCACTACGGCCCCCGTCTCTGGAACAGTCTGCCGGAGGAGCTCAGGGCCGCAGAGAACGTTCATATTTTTAAAAGCAGGCTCAAGACGCACCTTTTTAGATTAGCCTTTGATTAGTTTTTACTATTTCATTTTATATATTCTATTTATCCTCTATTATTTATTGTATTGCTATTGCTTTTATTCATGTATTGTGTGTTAGTTCATTTTAGTTTCATTTTAGTTTCACATTTTTGTGTTTTACATATTGTATTGTTATTGTATTGTTTTTAGTGTACCCAGTGTTTCCTCTGGAGGAGCCCTCTGCACTGGGAGCAGTGGTCGGTGTGGCTGTGGGGGTCGGACTCTTGGACCTGGTGGGGGCCTGGGGCCTCGGTTTCGGGTCTCCTCTAGATCCTGTGTTGTCCCCTGTGGCTACAGGCGGCTCTCTGCTCCTGGTGCAGACGGCTCCTAGGATGACGCTTTTTCAACTGGTTGCATCCGAACCCTGCCAAGTCTCTCATCATTGTTTTACTGTTTTACCTGTGTGTGTGTGTGTGTGTGTGTGTGTGTGTGTGTGTGTGTGTCAGAGAGTGTGCATGGGAGCGTGTGTGTGTTTGTCTGTGGTTTGGGATGGGTCTGTTGGGTGGTCGGGGGGAGGGGACATGGGCCGGCGGGATTGTTCTTAAGCAAACTGTAAAGCACTTTGTGTTGCATCTTTTGTATGAAAAGCGCTTCATAAATGAAATTTGATTGATTGATTGATTGAACAACGACAACAGTGACAAAAACGACAACAGTGACAACAGTGACAACAACGACAACAGTGACAACAGTGACAACAACGACAACAGTGACAACAGTGACAACAACAACAACAGTGACAACAGTGACAACAGTGACAACAACGACAACAGTGACAACAGTGACAACAACGACAACAGTGACAACAGCGACAACAACGACAACAGTGACAACAGTGACAACAGTGACAACAGTGACAACAACGACAACAGTGACAACAGTGACAACAACGACAACAGTGACAACAGTGACAACAACAACAACAGTGACAACAGTGACAACAGTGACAACAACGACAACAGTGACAACAGTGACAACAACGACAACAGTGACAACAGCGACAACAACGACAACAGTGACAACAGTGACAACAGTGACAACAACGACAACAGTGACAACAGTGACAACAACGACAACAGTGACAACAGTGACAACAGTGACAACAGAGACAACAACGACAACAGTGACAACAGTGACAACAACGACAACAGTGACAACAGTGACAACAACAGTGACAACAACAACAACAGTGACAACAGTGACAACAACGACAACAGTGACAACAGTGACAACAGTGACAACAACGACAACAGTGACAACAGTGACAACAGTGACAACAACGACAACAGTGACAACAGTGACAAAAACGACAACAGTGACAACAGTGACAACAGTGACAACAACGACAACAGTGACAACAGTGACAACAACAACAACAGTGACAACAGTGACAACAACGACAACAGTGACAACAGTGACAACAGTGACAACAACGACAACAGTGACAACAGTGACAACAGTGACAACAACGACAACAGTGACAACAGTGACAACAACGACAACAGTGACAACAGTGACAACAGTGACAACAACGACAACAGTGACAACAGTGACAACAACGACAACAGTGACAACAGTGACAACAGTGACAACAGTGACAACAGTGACAACAGTGACAACAACGACAACAGTGACAACAGTGACAACAACAACAACAGTGACAACAGTGATAACAACGACAACAGTGACAACAGTGACAACAGTGACAACAGTGACAACAACGACAACAGTGACAACAGTGACAACAGTGACAACAACGACAACAGTGACAACAGTGACAACAACGACAATAGTGACAACAACGACAACAGTGACAACAACGACTACAGTGACAACAGTGACAACAGTGACAACAGTGACAACAGAGACAACAACGACAACAGTGACAACAGTGACAACAACGACAACAGTGACAACAGTGACAACAGTGACAACAGTGATAACAGCGACAACAGTGACAACAACGACAACAGTGACAACAGTGATAAAGTGACAAGAGTGATAAAGTGACCTGCGTGCGACAAGAACATTCCCTGGACGAGTTCACGTCTTTAAGGATAAACAAGTACCACGCTGCAAGAAAACAGACTTGGATTATGTGAGCCTCAGACAGTCTCCATGTCTTTCTTAAAGTCTCCTTAATATTGTCTATAGCACAAATTGCTGGAGAATCTTGAAATATGAATTTTAGGGACATATATGAACATAATGGACATTGGTCATCTACCCCATCTCATATGTGTTTGTTATTATTGTATTTTGTGTGTTTGAACGGTTTGATTCTCTGATCTGTGTTGGCGAATAGACAACTTTATAAAGTCCTCTGAAATGACTACTGTTGTGATTTAGGGCAATAAAATGGAATAAAATTGAATTCTAAAAAATGGCCAAAGAGCAAAAAAACATGTTACTGTATAAAAGCTCACTGTACCCAATATGTCCAGGTCAACCTCTGGCAATTAGATACAAAATACAAATATATGTGTATATTTCATTTCTTTGCCAGGTAAATTGATCTAAAAATCCCATTCAAATGTGATGCCCCCTGCAACACACACACAAAGATAGACATATTTGAACTTGATGTGAACTTTTTGCACAAGCTGCTCTCTTACACAAAGGTTGTTTCATAAAAGTCACTCAGTAAAGCTGGGCTTACTGCCCTACTTCTTCTACTTAAGAGAAAAGACAGCAGTTGAGGCTCAAGTCTGTCACTCGGACCTTTCCAAGAGGCGCTCATCGCAGCCAGACTAAACAACATCAGCTCAAGCTGGAGCAAAGATACAGAGCAAAGATACAAAGCAAAGATACAGAGCTTGCATTCAGAACGTTTTCAATCCCCTTCACTTCATCTACATTTTGCAATACTATATCTTTATTCCAATGTTGTATAAAATTATCATTTTTATCAAATTATATATATATATTTTCATCAATCTACTTAAAATATCCAATAAAGACTAAGCGGAAATAGCTTTCTAGGACATGCACATGTGCATTCTTTGATAATACACATGTGCATAAGTGTGGAGCTGTTGATGCTTCTACAGCTTGACTGGAGCTCTATACACACAAAGACAAAACAGCCTATATTTTTTAAAACTGTATTGCAGAAAGTTTGAACTGGGTATGTAAATGTAGCTGTCCACACAGAGCATTGTAATGTACGTACCAGACCTCTGGGTGGCGCTATGAGGCTGTGACAAGAAACACCAAACCAGACAAAGAAATGCCTGCACACTGCCTCCTTCCCCCTCTGAGGAGAAAGAGCAGCATTTATAGACTTAAACTTACTAACAATATTTTTGGAAACGTTTAGATTATTTCTTCAGAATTGACAAGAATGAGGATCATATTTTGACTTTAACCAGTCTTCAAGCAGTTTGTACGGTATAGACTGAGTGAGCTGGAGCTGGAGCCGTGATGTCCTAGTGTAGTAGTGAAAGTGTTGGATTCACCGGCTCTGATTGGACAAAAGCTGAAAAAGACAAAAACAACTTTTGCTGTCTCTTTAGGCACCACCGCTGTCAGTGAGACACAGATCTGGGGAAGGTCACAACCACATTGGAGCAGTACTGAAGTACCCAAAGAGCACTGGTCTCCGTCATTTGAAAATTCAAAACCGCAGGACTTTTCTCAGACCTGGCCGCCCGTGCAAACTGAGAAGGGCCTTGGTCAGGGAGGTGACCAAGAACCCAATGTTCACTCGGATCAGACACAAAAACATGGTAAAGGAACAGACTGTTTTACAATAATTATTGAGCAAAAAATTAAATATAATAGGACTCTGGTCAGAGATAAATGCATTGTCAATAAGTAAATCCCCAATCTCCCAATACAATGAGACAGGCCATAATGCACGGTCAAGGCAAGAGGAGCCGGCTGATGACAGCAATAGCAATGACAGGCTTCATAGTGCTGTGGGATACTCGCTGGATACCTCAACGTCTCCGGGGAAAGAATGACCAGGATTGAAGTGTGATAGGCTGCCACTGCCGCCTGCATTTTATGGGCAACAGAGACTTGACATAGAGCAGATTATCCGGGACATCCGCCAGGTAATAGGTACTTGTACTACTCAAAGCTATAATCCACACAATTGTCTACTAATACTTTGATACATAGTAACTTGGCATTCAAAAACCAGCAAATAATGTGTGATCCCTGTGAAATGGCTTAATAACACCATAAAACAAAGGCGTTTTTAAACAAAGGCAGAGCCAAGCTGCGGACCAGGATCTCCAGTGCCATCATAGATTACCAAAGTCTCGGGTGCCTTCTTTCAAGAGACCATTGTTGTCTCCACAAATGCATAAGGTTTTACCCCTCACCTACAGAATAGCATTAAAACAGCCTCAACTAAAATTAAATACTGTTCATTGTATTATGATTCAAGGCATGACTATATAGACATGCCCCAACACAGCCTTTTTTCTTTACATAATGGCAAGGCAAGTTTATTTGTATAGCACAATTGATACACAAGGCAATTCAAAGTGCTGAACAAAATAAGAAAGCATTAAAATCACAGTACATTAAGAAGAAAGATAAAAATATACTGTTTTTAACCTGGTTTTAAACATTGTCAGAGAGGAGGCCTGTCTCACATCTTCAGGAAGATTGTTCCAGATTTTAGCAGCATGAATCTGAAAAGCTGCCTCCCCATGTTTAGTTCTGACTCTGGGCACTAACAGGAGCCCAGTCCCTGTGCTCCTCAGAGTCCGGGCTGGTTCATATGGGACTAACATGTCACTAATATATTTTGATGCGAGGCCATGGAGAGACTTGTACACAAGCAGAGCTGTTTTAAAGTCTATTCTCTGAGCCACAGGAAGCCAGTGCAAAGACCTTAGGACTGGACTAATTTGATCATAATTCCTGGTTTTAGTCATCAAGGTAAAATTACTAAATTATTTTACATGTGCTCATAATCACCTTCGCTGCTCCCCTCTGACTGCCAAACAGCCAGTCCCACATAATGGAGTGCATTTACAAAGCATAAAAAGTATAAAAAAAACTCCCAAACTGGTCTGACAACTCAGGTCCCAGCTACACACAGGTCGCTTTATCCAACCAATCAGATTGAGCCTTTCAGAGGTGTCTTATAACTTTGCTTAGCACTCAAACCTGATTGATTATCACACCTGCTGAACTGCAGCAGATCGGGTCATTTAATGGAAATACATGCAGCAAGAGACTCGACTTCATCACATCAATCAAAATTAATGAGTTGTCATGACGCATGATTTCATCTTTATGGAAAACAATTTCATCAAGGTCGCATCATTACAGAACGGCTGCTAGAGATGGGTTTACTGCAAACTGAGAGGCCCGCTCTTTCACCAGATCTGCGTCGCTTAGAAAACCCATAGAGTCCCCATCAGTAGCCCTCTACCTCAGAACCCGCCACTGCTGGATTTTATTTAACTTCTGTTTCAATAAAATGTTTGAAGGAAAGAAAGAAGAAAATCACCATAGTCACTATAGTATTCATTCAACATAATTTAACCCAAAAGTCAAATATCTCTAACTTGTAGTGGTTTGAACTTTTTTTGTCAGACAGTGACAGCACATTGAGAATCTAAATATCTACATGTTTTAACCACCACCCACCAGACCGCCAACAGACGCCGATGTGGGAGTCGCTACAAATGAACTCCTGAAATGCAATGCTGTTAAAGCAAGCAGTGAAACAACAGCATATTTAATCATACTGTAAACAATGAACCCAAAACACAATTTTTTACCATTGGTCAAGTTTCGGTACAACCCAAGTACAACTACACTCAACAAATCTAATATTATTAAAGTAATAATATCAAAAGGCCTGAAATCACATGGAAGCTCAAAGCCATCACATTCCATCTACACATCCAACTTCAGCTACATTTGTTTTGTAGTCTTTGTGCAATCCTGCCTATGCATGTGTTGTTGTAGATGTGCTTTACAAATAAAGCTGACATTGACTGACATAAACACACCTATAGCATAAATACAATACTGGACATCTTTGTGTGTATGTTTCCTCGACCTCTGAAAAACCTGCACTACTATTGACACTGTTTCTGATTGCCACTCTTGACACTTTTTATTGTACATAATATATCCTGCATTTAACATGTTTGCACATTTCTTTCTTTTTGCACAATCTTGAGTGTTTCTATCCATGCCAATGTGACATGTAAATGTCTCCTTTGTGAGATCAATTCATCTCGAATCTTGAATTGTGGGATCTATAATGACTTCCATAAAACATACTTTCCATGCAAACAATGCTTCTGGCAATGCTATTTCTATAAAGCTTTAGTTTATTAGAATATTTGTAAATTGGTATTGTAATGAGCCATGCCAGAGAGAACGTCTGGAAACATGGCTTATGAGGCCTGCACTTTACCGCCTTTGATTTATGTAAGTGCTGCGTTATGAGCAAAGATCCTCTCTGATCTTCGGCTGATGAAGATGGGGGCAGTGTCATTCGTCCGTGGTATTATAGACCATTGCAAATCTAATCGCAGCATGGTTTCATATTCAGTGTGCTTGTTACTTGAGCCAAAGTGTTTTTGAGCGCATTTACACAAATAGGCCAAAGTTTTAAAAGCACACGCACTCATTTCAGCTTTAAGCATACAGACATCAACAAAATCTTGGTGGACAGATACAAAATTGACCCTATCCAAATCTGTTTTCACACCCAGCCAACATAATCCGCCCATGGTCTGGCAGCCCTTTGCATGAAAAGGATTTAAGGGAAATCTAATGGTTATACTCTGTTGAAATGCTCTACAGCTATTACAGTAAATCACTCTTCTCTGCAAATCTTGTGAGTTTAACTCATTCTACAGAAGTTCATTTAAGTTCAATTCAATAGGGCGCACCAAAGATATTCCGCTGCCACCACAATAGCGGCTTTTAGTTTGCATTTCACTTTTTAGTTATAATTCTTAGTTTTGAAAACGTTATAAAGTGTGTTAAAAGTCAAATTTTACATTGCAGTGTTTGATTTCTGTCTT